ATAACAGAACGCTAACACGCTAGGAGATCAGAACCTGGAGGCAATCCAACCAGAACATTACGAGACGAAGGAGGAGAATAAAAAAGGACCAGGAGACAAGCACAAAGTGAGACTACAGCTAGAAAGCTAAGAAACACTAAGAAACTGGTACCAGATGCGTGAAGACTTAGGTACTCAAAACGAGAAATTTAGGAACCAGACAATATCCTAATCTGTTGCTAATTGTTTCAATTATTATGACTTATTAGTGACTACAAACTATCCAGTCCTTAAAAAATTACTCAAAAAAATAATAAGTTTACTCACAGTAAAAATGCAAACTCACAGCTGTAGCTTCACAAAGGTGACTATTACATTTCATTGTCAATCTAATCATTTGGATACTCTTATCAAATACTCAATTCTATCGCAGATCTTCCGACAATCACTGTCGCTACGCAATCAACTTTTTGGGAAGCCACTCGACACATTCTTTGAGAAGGTTTCTGTATACCGTCTGGAATCTCTTAACGTTTCTTTTATTGGCAATTCCCTAAGCGCATTTCAAGGCTCCTTGAGCTGGGGTATACCCTCTCCGTGTTGGGCCTTGTCGTGGTTGTGGAGGTTGTGTGGATCGGTGATCAAGAGGGGCGAATCCAGAGTAAAGACAACACAAAAGAATGGAAGAATGTATACTCTTCTGACGTGGGGACTGATCAAAAGACTAAACCGGAGGAAGCGTCCCAGGATACTCCTTAACCTGGTTGCAAGTCATCGAGCCGCAACAACAGTCCAAACGACGCAAGTGCATCTCCGGCGCTGAGCAGAAGAGAAGATAGAAAGTCAGGTTGGGCCAAATGAGTCAACTGCTCCAAGAGTCACCTCCCAACCCAACCCTAACCCAGGGCTTCAGGGACAAAATGACCCAGCAATTAAATTTCAGCACTTACATTCAGAGCTTAGAATACAAGATGATGGATTCAGATTTCAGGATTGGTATCATGGTTCGGGACCTAGGATACGGGTATTGAGGCACAACATTTGAAAGGAATTGAGGGATTCAGAATTGGGGATTAAAGATTTAGCGTCACGATTTAGGATCCGTTATTCAGAATACAGGATTCAGGAGTTCTATGAATTTAAACTTAAAAGTTAAAAAACCCAAAACGCAAGAGGATTCAGGATGACTTAGGATTTAATGCTTCGCCGATTCCGGATCCAGGATTCAGGATTCAACGTTCAAGATTCAAATTTTAAGGTACGCAGTTTGCGAAATGCAGTTCAAATAAAAAACAGAATTATCGGGGTTACAGGGTTAAGGATTCAAAGTGCAGTAATCAAATTTCAGGGAGGAGGGGGTTACTTTTTGAAATTATGGATTCTACAGAGCAAAATCTATAAGGAAATGTTTTTTCCCGGTCGTTCTGAGACAATTTTTTTTCGGGGCTCAAAAACAGGCAGTGTGTAAACCTTTTTTTTACCAAAAATCGACTACACCAAAATTCCTCGGGAAAACACTTTTTCTTATTAATTTTGGTGCGTAGAATCCAAAACAATTCGTACTTTTTCGATCAGACTTCTCAAAAAAAAGTTATTAACCAGAAACCAATTTCGAAAGAAAATTCAAAGGGCTGTAACTTTTGAACTAGTAGCCCAATCTTGGAACTGTTTGAAATTATGGATTCTACAGGCCACATTCTATAAGAAAAATTTTTCCGGGTCGATCTGAGACAATTTTTTTTGCGGGCCTCAAAAAAAGGCAGTGTATAACCTTCCTTTTTTACCAAAAATCGATTACACCAAAATTTCTCGGGAAAACACTTTTTCTTATTAATTTTGGTGCGTAGAATCCAAAACAATTCGTACTTTTTCGATCAGACTCCTCAATCAAAAGTTATAGACTAGAAACCAATTTCGAAAGAAAATTCAAAGGGCTGTAACTTTTGAACTAGTAGCCCAATCTTGGAATTGTTTGAAATTATGGATTCTACAGGCCACATTCTATAAGAAAATTTTTTTCCGGGTCGATCTGAGACAATTTTTTTTTTCGGGGCTCAAAAAAAGGCAGTGTATAACCTTCCTTTTTTACCAAAAATCGACTACACCAAAATTTCTCGGGAAAAAACTTTTTCTTATTAATTTTGGTGCGTAGAATCCAAAACAATTCGTACTTTTTCGATCAGACTTCTCAATCAAAAGTTATAGACTAGAAAACCAATTTCGAAAAAAAATTCAAAGGGCTGTAACTTTTGAACTAGTAGCCCAATCTTGGAACTGTTTGAAATTATGGATTCTACAGGCCACATTCTATAAGAAAAATTTTTTTCCGGGGCGATCTAAGACAATTTTTTTTTTCGGGGATCAAAAAAAAGCAGTGTATAACCTTCCTTTTTTACCAAAAATCGACTACACCAAAATTTCTCGTGAAAACACTTTTTCTTATTAATTTTGGTGCGTAGAATCCAAAACAATTCGTACTTTTTCGATCAGACTTCTCAATCAAAAGTTATAGACCAGAAACCAATTTCGAAAGAAAATTCAAAGGGCTGTAACTTTTGAACTAGTAGCCCAATCTTGGAACTGTTTGAAATTATGGATTCTACAGGCCACATTCTATAAGAAAATTTTTTTCCGGGACGATCTGAGACAATTTTTTTTCGTGGCAAAAAAAAGGCAGTGTATAACCTTCCTTTTTTCCAAAAATCGACTACACCAAAATTTCTCGGGAAAACACTTTTTCTTATTAATTTTGATGCGTAGAATCCAAAACAATTCGTACTTTTTCGATCAGACTTCTCAAAAAACAGTTATTTTTTTATTTATTTCAAAAGAAAATTCAGAGGGCTGTAACTTTTGAACTAGTAGCTCAATCTCGGAACTGTTTGAAATTATGAATTCTACAGGCCACATTCTATAAGAAAAATTTTTTCCCGGGGCGATCTAAGACAATTTTTTTTTCGGGGCTCAAAAAAAAGCAGTGTATAACCTTCCTTTTTTACTAAAGATCGACTACACCAAAATTTCTCGGGAAAAAACTTTTTCTTATTAATTTTGGTGCGTAGAATCCAAAACAATTCGTACTTTTTCGATCAGACTTCTCAATCAAAAGTTATAGACTAGAAACCAATTTCGAAGAAAAATTCAAAGGGCTGTAACTTTTGAACTAGTAGCCCAATCTTGGAACTGTTTGAAATTATGGATTCTACAGGCCACATTTTATAAGAAATTTTTTTTTCCGGGTCGATCTGAGACAATTTTTTTTTCGAGCTTCAAAAAAGGCATCTTCCTTTTTTACCAAAAATCGACTACACCAAAAGTTCTCGGGAAAAAACTTTTTCTTATTAATTTTGGTGCGTAGAATCCGAAACAATTCGTACTTTTTCGATCAGACCTCTCAAAAAAAAGTTATAGACTAGAAACCAATTGCGAAAGAAAATTCAAAGGGCCGTAACTTTTGAACTAGTAGCCCAATCTTAGAAATGTTTAAAATTATGGATTCTACAGGCCACATTCTATAAGAAAATTTTTTTCCTGTCGATCTGAGACAATTTTTTTTCGGGTCTCAAAAAAAGAACCTTCCTTTTTTATTAAAATTCCATTTTAAATTACGTACGTGGAGACATCTCAACGTAACTTGTAAAACTATTAAATTAAGGAAAGTGTATCGATTACTAAGGAGATGGCGCACTTGTCCCTTTTGTATTGAAACTAACTATTCAAAAACCGCGCCATTGAACAACAATTGCTGTACACATCTTGCAATACTATGCACCTTTTGAACTGCCATTTAAGTAAAATTAAGTGGGCGTGGCTATTAATCGCATAAATTCAAATAAGATTTGGAAAGATATTACGTACGTGGAGACATCTCAACTGAACTTGTAAAACTATAAGATGAAGGAAAGTGTATCCATTACTAAGGAGATGGCGCACTTGTACCTTTTATATTTAAACTTACTATTCAAAAACCTGGCCATTGAACTCCAATTGCTCTACAGATCTAGAAAAACACCGCACCTTTGAACCTTTAATGGTGTACCTTCTGAACCCTGAAAGGCCCGAACCTGTAGCAATGAGCTCTGGATCCTGAATCGTACTTCCCATTGAGATAGGGCCCTGAATTATTAATCATCTGGAATCTTCTGTCCTCAATAATAAGTCCTACATCCTCAATTTTCTACCCTTGGGAATCAGTCCTGAATCGGCGAAGAATTAAGCCCTAAGTCATCCTGAATCCTCTTGCGTGTAGAGTTTTTAACTTGTAAGTTTAAAGTCATAGAACTCCTGAATCTTGTGTTCTGAATAATGGGTCCTAAATCGTGATTCGAAATCTTTTATCCCCAATTCTGAATCCCTCAATTCCTTTCAAATGTTGTGCCTTAATACCCGAATCCTAGATCCGGAACCATAATACCAATCCTGAAATCTTAATCCATCATCTTGTAGCTGTGAGTATAAGTCCTGAAATTTAAATACTTGGTCATTCTGTCCCTGGAGCTTGAATTGTCAACAGTCTAAGGTGAACATTGAATCCTTAATCTCGATTTATTTATTTATTCATTTATTTGAATCTTGAATTCTACGTCCTTTTTGTCTACTCTTGCCTTTTCTGCATACTTCTCACACGTTTCTGCCTTTTCATTCCTAACCCCCGTCCTGTAGGAAACCTAGCTACCCTCACCGTCTATTTCCCTCACTCCGCCTCTTAACCACGCCCTCTAGTGTAATTCTTTGCTCGCTGCTGCTCTTCTTGTTTCTTCTATCCATCTTCTTCTCACCTTCTTCTGCCCTCTGCTCTGCTTTCTGCTTTCTGCTCAAGGATAATACAGAAAGAGGTGGATTAAAAAGACAGTGGAGTAAGTGGAAGGGAAGTTAAATTTAAAAACAAAAGGAGGTGGAAAAGGGAAGGAAGAAGGGTGAAGAAATCAAAGCGAACGGTGAAGACAACAGACAATGATAAGAAGGAGAAAAAAGTTGCAGATAAAGCGGAAGAAAAATAAAAAAGGATAGTTGGAACGGAATTAACCAAAGACCTTTATTAGATTACCCAAAACGCACACCCGCCACCTTACAAGAAATAGGTCTAAAACCTCACTTATATAACTCTATAATGCGATTCGCTTCTCTAAATCCCGTCTCGATGGCTCCATGCACCGTTGAGTAATGAACCGTGCTCGTAGCCTCTCCGGCGAACAGAATAACCGGGCTCCCATCGGCCACTTTGATTGGTTCGGCCAAGATCGCCGCCTGAGATCGGCCAAGCTTTCGGGACTCGACGGTTTCGAACGAGTAAGTGCCGCGAAAATTGGGATCCGAGTACCAATTTTTCCTACAAAATGATTTATATTGGACCATTTCCAGGGTTGGTTACCTTATAAGCTGATCTGGGCGTGAGATGTTCGGGTAATCTTCCGATAGAAATTGTCGCATCACGTGCATCACGCCGTTTATGATGGTCTCGTCGGACAGCTGCTCGATTTCCGGTACCAGTTTGCCGATGAACCACACAGAAAGGACATTGGGGTTCTTCTGGAGTGGGATTATACAGTAAATTGTGGTAATCCACGATCTGTTGCCCTAAAAATTAACGTGCAGACTAATTAGAGACTGGTTGCCGGTTTACAATTTTGGGCCCCTCCGGATATTTCAGGCTGGAACTCTGCAAATCAGCTGGAGTCCATACGAATGTAACACCTTCGAACTCGGCATCCCACCATTTAGCGGGAAAATGGAGCAATATCTTCGAAACGGCGTCAATTCCCAAGGTCTCAATCGCTCGAACCTTCTCCTTGGGGAGGTTTGGTTTGAAAACATTCGCGTGGAGATGCTTGAGCACGCCAAGGGAGGGGGTCCAAATGACGTGGTCGGCGGTGTAGCTACTCAAATCTGAGCAGCTCACGCGGACCTTGTCCGATTCCAGTGAAATTCCAGTAACCGATTTATTTAAGGCGATGTTGCACTCAATCGGTCCGGAAGCCTGACGCATTAAAACGTCCAAAATCGTCTTGTAACCCAAGCCATTCCAACCAAGCGCCAGGTTTCCTTCGCAAGTCTCAAAGTCTCCGCTGGCTGCTACCGTGGACCATGAGAACGACCCATCCTCAGACTCTACGTACCGTTCGAACAGGTCCAGGCACTCCTCTGCCAACGCCAGTTTATCACCGCTCTTCCAGATTTTGCGTATCTCAGCTTTGTACCTACAACAACTAAGATGAAGACCTGGTGCTCTGGTTAGCATTCACCTCTTAGCCAAAAAGTCTCCCAGAGATCCCTCAGCCCCATAGTTTTCGTCGAGGTAGATATCTTCAAATAAGCTGTTTAGTCGGGCGTTAAATTTTGAGTCGACGCGCTTTAAGGTCGAGTGGTACAGTTCCGGCAAAATATCATCGTCCTTCAGCAGTTTCAAGTCACGCACCATTTCGTAGACCACGTTATTTTTCTCGCCGTGACACCACTGTGCCCCCAGGTCGACCAGCGACTTTCCAAAGTGCACGCTGTAGATTCGACCTCCGATGCGACCTTCCGCTTCCAAAATCGTGACGTTCTTGTATCCATGACGGCTCAAAGTACTTGCCGCAGCAATTCCGGCGGCTCCAGCACCAATAATTACAATGCTGGGTTCTTTACGGCACTCAACGGACGAGAGGAGAGCAATTAGTACCGCTAAAATCGAACGCATTGGATGAAGATTAAAGTGGACGTTACAAAATTGATCCACCGACGCAAACTGAAAATAATATGTGAAGGTCGGTTCGATTACCTGCCAATGAAATGACGCAATCTGGAAATTAGCAATAATTGCACACTTTCAATGGGACCTAACACTCTTTTGATGACTGATTCCGTAGTTTGAAGCTCGCAGTACAATTGTGGGGAGGGGGTGGGGGGTCCTACTAGGCGCGTCCACAGGTGGCGGATACTGAAACGAATTACCAACACGAGACGCAAGGCCAACGCCGAATGGGTGCTCGTCGTTCGTAAAAACAGCAGCGGGGTGGGGGGAGTTTTCGGCATACGTTTTTCTTTCCCTACCGTAGCTCCCCCGCTCCACCTCTTCCACACTGGCTGCCTAGATCTAGTCCGGTTGATGATATCAACCGTCCACAGTATTAAGACCCCTCTGCCGTTCGAACGAATGTTGGCGGAGAAACCTGCTGTTGATAGAGAAAGAGGACGAGACCGATGTGTTTGGAAGGAGAGCATCAGTGAGTTGTACGACGCCCCGAGAAGATCGAAGGGTTGCGGAAACCTGGTCGGCTACGGTCACACCTTCGCGGAATGGACGTTTTGACGGATGGGCCACGGACACGACCGAGACCTTCTGTTGAGGTTTTGGAGGAAAGCGCATATCCAAAGAGATCAAAGGATTCATTGGGGAGAACTGTGTAGACCCGCGACTGATGGTACATGAGGTGTACGAGGCCATGAAGGGGGTCGCCAAAGCGAGTGACGGAAAGAAGATATTGATAACGGTCAGCGACGGCAAAGACACAGATATTCTACGGAAGGCGGCGATCTATGGGACCGAGCTGAGATAATGACAACGGCGTCCGTGGAAGACGGAGGCAGTGGCGAGCGGAAATCCCCCACTGAGAGATTCTCAAAGCCAAAGGCGGTTCTTCTCAAGTTAAAAGAGGCTGAAAACTCCTCTCAAAATGCAAAAGGGTATCGTGGTGACTAATACTCGTCGAAAACGATTTCAAAACCCAAGAAAGGCGATTTTTAGAGAAGGTGCAGGAAGGCGGAGCCAGTTAGGAAACTAATAGAAGAGGTGGGAGAGGGGAACGAAGTTAGGGTTCTCCAGGAAGTTTCCCCAATAGAAATAAGGGGCCTTGACGAGGTTACCGAGTAGGAGGAGACAGAAGAGGCGAACCCAACTCTTAAGAATGTGCTTCAGATGTTGGAAAAGGGGGCGACTTACTGGGGTAGCATGGTGGCCTACCGGAGGGGGTGGTTGATTATGGAGTGGACGGAGGAATTGGAATTCGTCGCCATACGCAACCAAGTTCGGAGGAAGAGGGCAGACGTCACCTTCGTTGCGGACGAGCTCCAGGTGATAGTAAGCGAGTGAGAAATCCTGGAAACCTCTGGAGGAAAACCGCAAACCCAAGGTGGAATGCGCGCAGAATGGACGACGGAAGGTTGCAGGAAGTAGTCCGAAGATCTGGAGAACGTGGATGATACTGATGAGTAGCTCATGCCAGAAACATATGCCACAGAGAGCTAAAGCTAGAAGAAGAGGGGTTTACTGGTGGCTCGCATTCGTCTGAGAAGTACCTATGGCACAGAGGAAGGCGAGTAAAAAACAGGATGCGATAAATGAGAGGGAAGCATGCAAGGGAGACAGATAGAGGGATATTAAAGGACATGATAAAGAAAAACAAGGAACGCTCGTGGAAGCGGCTGTGTGAAGAGGTTGACAACAACATATGGGAGAGGAGTTACAGAATAATAACGAAAAAGATCAAAACAAGGAGATCAATGTGGGCTGGACAAAGGAACCCTTTCAGGAAGCAATGAACCCTTCCCGAGCCACGAAGAGAGAGTGGAAATAATAACAAACAAGTATACATTGTGCACAAGGGATAAAGCGCATTTTTTTAACCGAAATAGCTTTTGTTTTGACCAATGGGTATATTTCTAGCAGACATCTCAATCTCTCTTTGTGAGTACCCTCTTCCGACAATCCGTTCTTGAGGTATAAGGGAATATACCCGATCACGATAAGAGGTCGAAGAGGAGGGCTATGGTTGGTAGAAATTCATTCCTTTCGTTGAGACCTTTAATTAGAATACCATGAAGGGTACAACATGTGTTTATTCTCTCCCCCCCCCCCCCTTTCCATAAGTTTTACTTGACACCACTAAAGGCATGCGTATGCAAAATCTGAGATCAATTGGTTGTCGTATGTAAAATGTATGCACGTTTTTTACCTTCAAAAACAGCATCTCAGGAAATAACTCGTGGGGGGGGGGAGGCTTTTAGACAGCGAAATTTGATGGACGTTTGGCACACCTTCAAGGTATAGGCTACCTACTGCAAAAACTCTAAGACCATTCCCCTAGAAGTAGTTTGAAACGGCAGAAGTGGTTCCGGACGGACTGACAAAACGCAAAACAATAGCACATTTTTTTTAATTCTTAAAAAATGCATTAAAAATAGATTGTGTAGTTGCCAAAACTGTCCAAAACGCTTTGTGAGTTACATCGCGGACGGCAGAGGTGTCGAAGGCAAACTTGGGACCATGGAGAACCCACAGGGAGGTGTTCCTGGTGACCTTGCTGGATTTGGGAAACGCTTTTAACTATAAAACTATAGAGGCCCGTTTATTTGAGGAGGATAATCCGACAAGAGAACAGAACATGTCACCGCACTGTGTGGAGAAATACCAGAACTGGGTTTCCACAGGGACACTGTAGCCCAATCTTCAAACTGTTTGAAATTATGGATTCTACAGGCCACAGTTTATAAGAAAATATTTTTTTCCGACCGATCTGAGACAATTTTTTCTTCGGGCCTCAAAAAAAGGCAGTGTATAACCTTCCTTTTTTTACCAAAAATCGACTACACCAAAATTTCTCGGGAAAACACTTTTTCTTATTAATTTTGGTGCGTAGAATCCAAAACAATTCGTACTTTTTCGATTAGACTTCTCAATCAAAAGTTATAGACTAGAAACCAAATTCGAAAGAAAATTCAAAGGGCTGTAACTTTTGAACTGGTAGCCCAATCTTCAAACTGTTTAAAATTATGGATTCTACAGGGCACATTCTATAAGAAAATTTTTTTCCCGGTCGATCTGAGACAATTTTTTCTTCGGGCCTCAAAAAGTGGCAGTGTATAACCTTCCTTTTTTACCAAAAATCAACTACACCAAAATTTCTCGGGAAAACACCTTTTCTTATTAATTTTGGAGCGTAGAATCCAAAACATTTCGTACTTTTTCGATTAGACTTCTCAATCAAAAGTTATAGACTAGAAACCAAATTCGAAAGAAAATTCAAAGGGCTGTAACTTTTGAACTGGTAGCGCAATCTTCAAACTGTTTGAAATTATGGATTCTACAGGGCACATTCTATAAGAAAATATTTTTTCCCGTTCGATATGAGACAATTTTTTTATTCGGGAAGATTGGGGAACAATCTTAGGACCTACCCTGTACAACAACTTCTCCCTTGGTCCATAGTACCGTGTTTGAGTTAGCCAGCAAAACCTAGGCTAAAGAAGGTCCTATTGTTTATGGAGAGGAGCGAGATCTGAATCTATTTGCGAAAGAAAGGGGGTAGGCACAATGGGCCTTTGGTGTGCTTAAGTGCTGCCTGATCACGCTCCACTTGTGAATAGAATAGAAGGGATGGCATGTGGTTTACCACTTCCGCACACTCGGAGTGTACTCAGTTTTTTTTAGCTCTGGCCTCTACCACGATCCTCGTTGGTGCAATGCCGGCGATCATTAAAAGTCGCTACAAATTCTTATGGCGATCAAACGTAGCTTTGGTTTTGAACAACGTCTGACGTGGTCGACAACCCCATCGAAACCAAGATGCACATTGACCGATAGCACTGGGTCTCTTTTGGTATCAACACCAGCTTACATCGCTTCCAGCCTTCGGGATAACAACCGTTGATAATAAGTTTGGTAAATAGCATCGCCGCCATGTCAGGTTTCTCTAACGCCAGACCCTTGACGACTACTCCCGGCACGCCGCGCCGTCCGGGTCTGGAGCTTTGTCCACTGAGCACTATCGAGACTGTGGAAACTGTTGAAGTTTGGAGATTATAATCTCCCCCTTGGCGTGTAAGGGGAGCTCGGAGGAGCTATAACCTATACGAATAGCGACCGTGCCGAGAACTGCGTGGCAAGACCTTAACTGACCTTGAAAACTGTCAAGTCGCCAATTACTCCTAAAGAAAAGGAAACTACTTGGAAAGCTCGGAGGCTTCCGAAAGCAACGATGCCGTCTCTTTACTTTCAACTTAGAGCTAACTACCTAGACTTTTATTAGATTATCCAAGATGCCAACCCGCCACCTCATGGTACGACCTAAACGACATCACTTATATAACTCAATAATGCGATTCGCCTCCCTAAACCCCGTCTCAATAGCTCCATGCACTGTTGAGTAATGATTCGTGCTGGTCGCCTCCCCGGCGAACAGAATAACCGGTCTCCCATCCGACGCGCTGATCGGTTCGGCCAATACCGCCGCCTGAGATCGGCCAAGCTTTCGGGACTCGACGGTTTCGAACGAGTAACTACCGCCAAAGTTCGGATCCGAGTACCACTTTTTCCTACAGAACGAATTACATTGGGCCATTTCGTGGGTCGGTTACCTTATAATCCGATCCGGGCGCGAGATGGTCGGGTAATCCTCCGACAGAAATTTTCGCAAGACGTGCATCACGCCCTTGATGATGGACTCGTCGGACAGCCGCTCGATTTCCGGTACCAGCGGGCCGAGGAACCACACCGAAAGCACGTTGGGGTTTCTTTGGAGTGGGTGGATGCAGTGGATTGTGGTGATCCACGATCTGTTACCCTAAAAATTAACGTGCAGTCTATTGAGACATTGGTTGCTGGTTTACAATTTTGGGCTCGTCCGTATATTCCAGGCTCGCAGTCTGCAGGTCGGCTTGTGTCCATACGAATGCAACACTTTCGAACACGGTCTCCCACCATCTGGCGGGGAAATGGAAGAATATTTTCGAAACAGCCTCAATTCCCAAGGTTTGAATTGCTCGAATCTTCCCCTTGGGGGAGCTTTGGTTTGAAAACATTCGCGTGGAGGTGCTTGAGCACACCAAGGGAGGGAGTCCAAATGACGTGGTCGGCCGTGTAGCTACTCAAATCTGTGCAGCTCACGCGGACCTTGCCCGATTCCAACGAGATTTCGCTAACCGATTTATTTAAGACGATATCGGCACCGAAGCCTGACGCATTAAAACGTCCAAAATAGTCTTGTAACCCAAGCCATTCCAACCAAGCGCCAGGTTTCTCTAAAATACTGATCCAGACCGACAGGCGGACAGACAGACAGACTGACACCATCCAGATTTTGTTTGATTTTGATTCTCGATGTTCTAAAGGTATATTTCCGTAAAAAAAGTGGGAGTAAATTTTTAAACCAATGCATACCTCAGCGGGAAGTATGGAATAGACTATGCCGTGAAAGCTATACTGAGCGCGGGGGGGGCATAACACCAGGAGTCTGGCGGTAGGGAATACTCCCTCATGAAATCACACACACACACGAAGATCTCGTTAAATACTGGGGGTATTGGATTCCCCCTCCCCCCAACCCTCGGCGCTACGTTCTCACCCAAAAACGGAAGCCAAGAAAGGAAGAGTGGATGGTCCTTTTGTAAAGAATCGCGACAGGCTTCAGGGCATAGCCTATTCCATACCCCCCACACTTCTTCCTGTCTTGGCTACCGTTTTTGGGGTGAGAACGTAGCATCGGGAAGTTTGGGGGGTATGTAATACCTCCCAGTAAACGAAAATCAAGTTACCATTTCCCTGCAATCATGAAATCATACACACGATAATCTCGTAAATCACTGACCGGGGGGGGGGGGGGGTCCATGCCCGCAGACCTCTTCCTTCCCTGGCTACTGTGTTTGGGGTGAGAACCAGACCCCCCCCCCCCCCGGTGCTACGTGTCGCAAGAAAGGAAGAGTTGATGTTCGTTTTTGAAACAAGCTAAAGGTGTAGCGCATTTCGGAAAGAAAACATAACATCGGGAGGTCTGGAATACCCCCCCCCCGTATATTTCAAGATTTTCGTGCACATTATTTCATGGGTGTAGGGAAAGAGTAATCTGATTTTCGTTTACATGGGAATATTCCATACCCCCAGACCTCCCCCCCTCCGCCCGGTGTTTTTTTCCGAAATACGCTACGCCTTGAATCCTGTTGAGGGGACCATCGGCTCTTCCTTTTTTGACTTTCGTTTTTGGGTGAGAACGTAGCACCGGGGGGTCTGGCGATATGGAATACTCTCCAGTATTTTACGAGATTTTCGTGCGTATACTTTGTAGGGAAAGGTACCCTCGGATGTTATGTTTTTTTCACCCCCCCAGTATATTACATTTTCGTTCGTCTGATTTCATGATTGTAGGGAAAGAGTCAACTGATTATCGTTTACTGGGGAGTATTCCATACCCCCTAGACCTCTTCCTTTCTTGACTGCCGTTTTTGGGGTGAGAACGTGGCACCATGAGGTATAGAATACACCCCAGTAAACGAAAATCAGGGGACCGTTTCCCTATAATCATGAAATCATACACACGCAAACCTCGTAAAACACGGGGCGGAGGGGTCTATACCCCCCAGACCTCTTCCTTCCTTGGCTATTGTGTTTGGGGTGAGTACCAGACCCCCCCCCCCCGTGCTACGTGACGCAAGAAAGGAAAAGTCGATTTTCATTTTTGAAACAGGCTAAAGGTGTAGCATATTTCAGAAAAAAAAACATAACATCGGGAGGTCTGGAATACCCCCCCCCCCCCAGTATATTTCAAGATTTTCGTGCGCATTATTTCATGGGTGTAGGGAAAGGGTAATCTGATTTTCGTTTAGATGGGAATATTCCATACCCCCAGCCCCCCCCCCCTCCATACGGTGTTATTTTTTTCCGAAATACGCTACACCTTGAAGCCTGTTGAGAGGACCATCGCCTCTTCCTTTTTTGACTTTCGTTTTTGGGTGAGAACGTAGCATCGAGGGTCTGGGTATATGGAATACTGCCCAGTATTTTACGAGATTTTCGTGCATATGCTTTCATAAAAGTAGGGAAAGGTATTCCATACCCCCAAACCCTCGGGTGTTAGGTTTTTTCCACCCCCCAGTATATTACATTTTCGTCTGATTTCATGATTGTAGGGAAAGAGTCATCTGATTATCGTTTACTGGGGAGTATTCCATACCCCCTAGACCTCTTCCTTCCTTGACTACCGTTTTTGGGGTGAAAACGTGGCACCATGGGGTATAGAATACACCCCAGTAAACGAAAATCAGAGTATTTCTGAAAGAAAACATAACATCCGGAGGTCTGGAATAACACCCCCCCCCGTAAATTTGCATGGGAATATTCCATACCCCCCACCCCCAACATCTGGTGTTATTTTTTTCCGAAATACACTACGCCTTGAAGCCTGTTGAAAGGACCATCGCCTCTTCTTTTTTTGGCTTCCATTTCTAAGTGAGAATGTAGCATTGGGAGGGAGGGGGGGGGGCTAATCACGCACGAAAATCTCGTAATACAGTAGGTACCCTCCGTACTCCAGGGCTAGTCGGAGCAACATATAATTGGATACATTCCAAAGCAGCTTCGGATCCCGACTTGAGCTAAGAAATAGAAGGACTAAAGACAGAGCTGGGTCGAGCGCTCTAAAAAACCGCTCGAGCGACGAGCGCTCTAATTTTCTCAAAAATGCTCGCGAAACCGCTTGCGACTTCCGAGCAATCCTAACACTGCTCGAGAGGTATATCGCGAACGCTCGGGAAAAGTGCTCGTGAGCGGAAAAAAAGCTCATTCGCGGAAAAACCGCTCGTGGGCGAGCGCCGAGCACTTTAAGTAAACGTTCGAGACTAGTAACTCGTTCTGTTGTAGGTTGTAATGGTGTAAATTGAGCCTCTTAAAGTGATTGATTTTTTTAGGCTTCCGGCGTTTGGCGCGAGATTAGCTCAAAAAAGAAAAGCAGTTACTTACTAAAAAAAGTTTCAAGTATGGGGGGGGGGGGCAGTAACCTCCAAGGAACATTATTTAAGAGGTAAATGTTTCTTTTATTTTGTTTTGTTTTGTGAGTAACAAGTAAATTTTTGTGTGAAATAATAACTAAAGAAAATTGAGTCCTAAAATCTTCGATAAAGTTCAATTAAACGATCCGCCTCCCTGAATCCCGACTCGATCGCCCCGTGGACAGTCGAGTGGTGTCTCGGATTTGTAGCTTCTCCCGCAAAAAGCAAGATCGGTTTTCCCTCATCCGATAGGATGGGCTCCCCAAGGACCTCCGCCTGCGGCCTGCCCAGTTTTCGAGACTCCACCGTCTCAAACGAGTACGTGCCGTGGAAATGAGGATCGATGTACCAATTCTTCCTGAAAGCGGCGAACATCAGTAACGTATTGGCCTTGCAAGGAGGAGGTGCCTACCGTATGACTCTGTCCGGTCGAGTGATATTTGGGTAGTCCTCGCCCATGAACTCGCGTAACGTGTAGATGACTCCGTCTGTGATGGTCTCATCCGAGGTTTTTTCAATTTCTGGAACAAGCGCACCTGCAAGCCACGCCAGGAGCAGGTTTGGACTTTTTGGAACTGAAGTCACGCATATTATCGTGGTAATCCACGATTTGTTCCCAGTTTTGGGACCGTATGGGAACGCCTCCCCTGATTTTTGCAAGTCGCTTGCTGCCCATGAAAACACCACGCCTCTAAAGTCGTCGTTCCACCATTTCGTGGGGAAATACAGGCCGACCTTTAAAACAGCATTCATGCCCAGTGTCTGGATGGCCTGTACTTTCTCGCCGGAGAGCTGTGGTGTGAACAAAGTTTTGTAGCCGCGCTTTAAGACGCCGAGAGATGGCGTCCAAATGACATGGTCCGAGGTAAAGCTGGCGCCGTTGGTGCATTTCACCTCAACCTTGGAATCGCTCCGGACGACTTGCTTTACCACGTGGTTTAGGAGAACTTTGTCAGTAATCGACTTGGCTGATTTCTCCATCAGGACGTCGAGAATTGTTTTGTACCCCAGCCCGTTCCAACCGAGCGCCGAGTTACCCTCGCACACCTCGTAGATGCTACTGGCCGCTACATCAAACCAGGAGAACGCCGCTTCGTATCCTTCCACCCAAATCCGGAACGAATGCAAACAGTCGGCGGCCAACGCCAGTTTATCTTCGTCGTCTTTCCACGCGTCACGCGTGGCCTCGTTGTACCTGCAAGTGGACACTAAAATCCAGCGGAAGCTTTCACGTACTCACCTCGTGGTGAGGTACTCCCCCAAGGGCCCTTTCTGATCAGTACTCACATTTCCGTAGGTCGTCTCAAATATCTCGGTCATTTTGACAGCGAATTCGGTATCGATGAGCTTCCGCTTCGAGTGATAAAATAGCGGAACGAAGAAGTCGTCATTTAGCACGTTTAAATCCTTGACCAACTCGTAGACCACGTTATCCTTCTCACCGTGGCACCATTGCGCCCCCAGGTCGATGTACGCGTCTCCAAGCTTCAGGCTGTAAACCCTTCCGCCGATCCTGTCTTCGGCCTCTAATATTGTAAGATTTTTGAAACCATTTTTGTAGAGTCGGCTGGCGGCCGCTATGCCGGCGGCGCCGGCACCGATTATTACGACGCCAGGGTCGTCGATGCAGTTAGCGCAAGAGAGAAGGAGTAACGTACACACGAGGTGCAGAAGCAAACGCATGATTGATTGTAAACGGTATATCTTCTATTACATCCAAACGTCGTCCCGTGTGGGTAATTGCGCCATTATGATAGGGAAGGTCAAGTGCTTAATCAGATAAACTGTTGTTTATTTATGTCACATTTATTTATTTATCTACAGATTTCATGTTTAAGCGTGACCTCCGTCCCTTTTTCCGGCGCCGGTAGTATATATAGTAATCCCGACGCGAGTGGTCGACACCAAATACGAGGAGGACCCTACCAGGCTACTCCCTGCGGAAGAACGTCCTCCATAGGCTCGTCCTGAAACCATGATTTTGCCTCTGGAGAAGCTTCAAGATGATGACCGTGTCATCCGGGGCGCCGTATAACACCACCATCACCTTGATTACCCTAGGGACGTGCCTCTGGACTTTCAGACGGTCCTCTCCAAGCAGTCCAAAGTCCTCGCATTTGCCCACAATGGCACCCTGCGGGTTCCAGCGGGACCCTGCCAGCCGAGGAAAGCCTCCCCCCTCCATGTCGTCAACTGCATTCAATGCCGTCATAATTCACCTCGACTGAGGCTCAGTGATCTCCACCTCCGAATGCGATACCGGAACAATGGCCACCCTGAGCCCCGCCGCAGCGACTTACCTAGAGGTTCGTAGTGCACCCGCAACTATTGGGGCTCCAGAGCCTCTAGGCTTCTTCGCAGGGTACCCTGAGCCAAGCCCCGAAGTGCTTCCCTTCAATCTGAAACACTTGGTCCCTAACGTCGGGTTGCCCTTTGAGCCAGGACCCAGGCTTTGGTGCAGGGCCTGCTTGACTCGAGGTTTCATCCTGGAGCCGGCGCTTCCTGGCTATCGCCCTCTATGCCTCAGTCCTATTTTTCTTGGTCGTCACTAAACCACCCACCCAGTTCAATTAAACTCCAGGTACTAAGCAAATGCGAAATGATTTTTATTCGACAAAATCAATTAAGATGAAAAAATAGGCATAGACACATACCACGTACAAGCAATCGATAGAAGAAATTAGTTAAAAGAAATGCGAATTACCTTAAAATGTTAAAAATCCTTGCACCCGATCAATTTCGATTGTCTTTAACTGATGCACAAACACCAGGTGATATTGCTTCTAAAGTTCTCTTCTTTACTTTAATTGTACCTGAACACTAAGTGCGTTGTAATTACAAAATTGGCTCTTTGAACACTCCGACTAACTTCTTCGGTACTTCACTTCTTGATTTCGACTTATACCGCTCGCCTAAATAATCCTTAACTTTCTGTACAACGAACTTTACAACTGGCACGACTGACTGTCTTGCGAAAATACACTTAAGTACGGCTAACTGCCGAACACCAAACCAAAGAAACCGGCTACGTTGCAACGTCCACCAAGCCATAAAAAACCAATTAACGTTCACCACTAAAACGAATCCCTAGTCACATCTGCTTCATGTATTTAAAGCATCCTACCCTTTTCGTTTCAGTTCTCACTGACTGAATTCCGACACATGTGTTTTCTTACGGTAATAACACGTGCTTATCTTGAAATTTAATCAGCGGTAACAAATTTCTTATCGCAACGACCGGCAAAAGAATCATTTAATACGAAATAGCTACTCTACAATTAAATAAACAAAATGCTAGACGATTATTTAAACAAATTTAGAACATTAAATAGATACAAAATAATTACGACACATCAAATGATCGACAGTGTGTTTAATCTCAAATAAACAACCACATTTACGCTTAAAAAATAATTGAAATGCATCTTACAGGGTGAACCAACAGTTTACATAATATATACGCGAAAGGGACTAGTAGACTGGCTATAAGGGATCTAGAAACAATGAAAGGGAGTGACCGACGATGTACCTCAGTGGTAGAGAGTTGGACTTTTCTGCAGTTTTCCTAATGACTAAGGTAGATACCGGAGAAGTATAGAACAACTTAAGACCTTCTGCAGTGGTACCTCTCAAAAGCATTATGTGGATCACTCTGTAATTGGGCGTAAGCCTATTGAGGGCCTAGAACAAGAGGGACAATAAACAATAAAGAGAGGCTAAGATGGTTGAAGAGGTAAAGGAGGCAAAAAAGACGAGAAAAACTAGAGCTTCTAGAGACAATAGAGATTTTTTGTTTCGGGAAAAAATCCAAAATCCCTAAGTTTTCGAAAAAATCTGAAACGCACAAGAAATCGTTGGGGCGATCGAAATCCATTCTTGGGCCATCATTTACGCTGTCCTGTTTTTACTAAATCCTCACCCGATGTGTCTAAGGCGTGCCCAGCACTGACAGTAGAAAGTTTCGAAATTCACTGAATTCGTGCTCAAAAGCACCCGAAAATCGAGTTCTACGGAAAACTACGGAGCCTTTGTGACTCAGGCAAACAGACAGAGACAGGCGTAAAGAGCACTTTTTTTAAAAGTGAAAGTGCACTAAAAAAACTCCCAAGAAGAGGACTAAGAAGTCGATAAAAAGAACTTTCTGAACAGCATTAAAAGTTTCCGGACCAGATCTTTATCTATAATTTCCAGGTAGCCTTCCCAAAGCGTCCCAGCGCCATACACGAGTATTCCTTCCACATTCCACATTTACGCAAGCGCCACCTATGATCAACATAGACTAGTCTAATAAATCGGTGCCGCTGTAGTAACCACATCCTGTAATTAATTTCACGTGCTTTTTTTAGGTTATGTTACCACATATAAATAAATAAAGTTTGTAAAATGTCTCGTCCTGAGCACTTGGCACCACCGGAAATCGTAAGAATCTCGGCGCCAGTTCAGTATTAAATAATTAAAATTCCACTTGCAGTTCTACAATGAGGAGGAGGCGAAGAAGTACACCCAAAAGTTCGTCGTTACCTCCACCGAACACCAAAACTAAATCGTTCTTAGTTCCAGAATCATAGACATCCAAGTGCAGATGAGCGAACGCGCAATCGAACTTCTAGTCCTTCCCGAAGACACGCCGTGCTTCCTCTTGGATATCGGTTGCGGTTCGGGATTGAGCGGAAGTGTATTGGAGGATCAGGGCCACTATTGGACCGGTCTAGACATTTCCAGTGCAATGTTAGGTTTGTTCCGCTACACGTCGTGACGGAGTGTGTGATTGTAACGTCGTAGATGTGGCACGGGATCGTGAAGTCGAGGGCGATTTGATTCTCTCCGACATGGGACAGGGGTGTCCCTTTCGGGCGGGTACCTTCGACGGTGCAATCAGTATATCGGCCCTACAGTGGTTGTGCAACGCAGATAAGACGTCGCACAAGCCTGTGCAGCGATTGTACAAGTTTTTTAGCTCACTCTACGCGTGTTTGGTAAGACGCTTGAATTACCGTCGTCGGTGACGGTCTAACCGGTGGAGTCTCAGTCCAGATCCGCAAGGGCCGTGTTTCAATTTTACCCGGAAAATGCCGACCAAATGGAGCTGGTGACCACTCAGGCAATGAAGGCGGGATTTTACGGCGGCATGGTCGTCGATTACCCCAATTCGGCTAAGGCGAAGAAGATTTTTCTTGTACTGATGACCGGAGGCAACGTTCCGTTACCGACGGCTTTAGGAGCGGACGAAAGTTCCCAAGGTAAGCGAATGGAAGTGAATTCCCAAAATTCATTTTTGGCTCGGAGGCGTGCCATACACTGCCAAGCGCGAACAGGCTAGGAAAGCCAGAGGGAAATCGTTGAAAGGGAGTCGCTCCTGGATCCTCGAAAAGAAGGAAAGGCGAAGAAAGCAGGGGAAAGAATCAAGGGCCAACACGAAGTATACGGGTCGAAAACGAAGCGGTCGATTTTAGCTGTATTTATTTAAGTTTGTAATAAAAATTAACATTCTGGTTCGGGCGTTTGTGTGAGTAGAATTCCGAAGCGTTTCTTTATCGTTAGCCGCTCCCGTGAGTACTTGTCTTCGGGAGAAAAACGTGCTGGAATCATTGCTAATGTACGTAAATTAGAAAAGGTTGCGTCTTACCTGGGTGAGCCGTCATCGTGGGTTTACCGACCAAATCAGTCTTCTGCAAAGAAATCATAAGATCCCCAAAGTGCAACAAATGGCTTACCTTTAAGGTGTACACTCGCTTGCCACTGTCGTCTATGTAATACATTAAATACATTGCAAGAAGAATTTTTCAATAACAGGCCGTATTTCTGAAACTTAACCTCAATTATAATTATATTGTATGAAAACTGGTACAGCTAGCTGTGTCGCAAAAAGTATACAAGTAACCAATTTTCATACAAAGGATAACACCAGTGAAATTTCAGTGCTTGATGGCCTTAACGAGTTTTTGACGTCTTTAGACCATAACCTTGAAACCAACACGGTCAAAGGTCTTTAGAACATTCACCTTGTGGGTTTTCTTTAGAATCTGGGATCTTTAGAATTCCCTAGTTTTCAAAATCTTTTTGGATTCTGTTAGAGAATCTTTTTAATAAAGCCTCTCTTTAAGGTCGCTTTCCTCTGTACAGAGGTTTTACGGTTGCCAAAAGGTCTCCGTTGGAACCTTTTTGGGTTCTCCTTATGAAAACAGCTGTAAATTGAGTGAATTCAAAATTCCTTTCAAAAAGTACCTTAACCGTAAGTGTCACGTGATGCCATTAATTTACAATTATGAGAAGACAATGCCCTTTTAGAAAAATTAAAAAAATCGAAGTCTCCGCCGGTAAGGTCCTTAAAAATGGCCATAAATGCAAATCCAAAATACCTCTCAACAAGGCCTTAAACGTAAGCGTTACGCGCTGAAATTGATACACTATTATAAGAAGGCCATGCCCTTTTATAAAAATTAAAAAAAACTAAAAGTCTCCGATCTCATTAACATGAAGGACGTAAAATCCCCTACAAGTTTTCAATATAGACTTTCGGGACCTTTTTTAAGAGTGCGTTTAAAAGGCGAACCTTGAGTAGCCTTTAAGACCATCAAGAAGCATTTATAAATCTTTAAAAAAGTGAGAGGAATCAAAGACCAGGACAGTCTAAGAACTGAAAGACCGAAAAAACTGAGCAGTCGGAGGAAGAAATCGAGTGGTGTGTGGTGGATCTTAAGGGTGAGAGGTCTGAAGAAGACCCTGAAGAGCAGGGGGAGCAGGAAAGCCGTTGGCGCAAACATATATGGACAAGTTGTACAGCTCTCGAGTTTTTTTAACGTTTTGAGAACCTTTCATTAGCTTTAGGAGCATTTTTACTGCCCTTAAAAATCTTTAAAAATGCTTACTGGGCTCGAGGAGTTTCCAAGAAAGCCTGGAGATTCCCCCCTCTCTTCAAGAGATGAGCCTTTAAATATCTTAAGTGCTTTCAAAAACTTTTGAACACCTTTAAAGGTCGAGCTTATTAACAAGAAAGACGTTTAAAATCCCTATACGTTTTCAAGAGGTTTTCGAGACGTTTTTTAAGAGTGTTTAAAAGGCGAACCTTGAGTAGCCTTTAAGACCATCAAGAAGCATTTATAAATCTTTAAAAAAGTGAGAGGAGGTCAGCAAAGTCTAAGGGTTGAAAGACCGAAAAAACTGAGCAGTCAGAGGAAGAAATCGAGTGGGGGTGGTGGATCTTAAGGAGAGGTCTGAAGAAGACCCTGAAGAGCAGGGGGAGCAGGAAAGCCGTTGGCGCAAACATATGTGGACAAATTGTACAGCTCTCTGGTTTTTTTAACGCTTTGAGAACCTTTCATTAGCTTTAGGAGCATTTTACTGCCGTTAAAAATCTTTAAAAATGCTTAATGGGCTCAGGAGTTTCCAGGAAAGCCTAAGATTCCTCCCTCTCTTCAAGAAATGAGCCTCTAAAGTTCTTTAGTGCTTTCAAAAACATTTGAACACTTAAAGGTCGAGCTTATTAACAAGAAGAACGTTAAAAACCACTACAAGTTATCAAGAGGTTTTCGGGACCTCTTTTAAGAGTGTTTAAGAGGCGAACCTTGAGTAGCCTTTAAGACCATCAAGAAGCATTTAAAAATCTTTAAAAAAGTGAGGAATCGAAGACGAGGTCAGCAAAGTCTAAGAAGTGAAAGACCGAACAAATTGAGCAGTCGGAGGAAGAAATCGAGTGGGGTGTGATGGATCTAAAGAGTGAGAGGTCTAAAGAAGACTCTGAAGAGCAGGGGGAGCAGGAAAACCGTTGGCGCAAACATATATGGACAAATTGTGAGTTTCCAGGAAAGCCTGAGCTCCCCCCTCTCTCTAAGATATCAGCCTTTAAATATATCTTAAGATGCTTTCAAAAACATTTGAACACTTAAAGATCGATCTCATTAACACGAAGGACGTTAAATCCCCTACAAGTTTTCAATAGGCTTTCAGGACCTTTTTTAAGAGTGTTTAAATGGCGAACCTTGAGTAGCCTTTAAAACCATCAATTAAGAAGCATTTATAAATCTTTAAATGACTCAAAGGTGTGAGGAATCGAAGACGAGATCAGCAACGTCTAAGAACTGAAAGAATAGGTCTGAGGAGGACTGAACAAATTGAGCAGTCGGGAGGAAGAAATCGAGTGGAATGTGGTGGATCTTAGGGGTGAGAGGTCTGAAGAGCAGGGGGAGCAGGAAAACCGTTGGCGCAAACATATATGTGGACAAATTGTACAGCCCTCTGGTTTTTTTAACGTTTTGTGAACCTTTCATTAGCTTTAGGAACATTTTACTGCCCTTAAAAATCTTTAAAGATGCTGAATGGGCTCAGGAGTTTCCAGGAAAGCCTAAGATTCCCCCCTCTCTTCAAGAAGTGAGTAACCTTTAAGACCATCAAGAAGCATTTTAAATCTTTAAAAAAGTGAGAGGAATCGAAGACGAGGTCAGCAAAGTCTAATAACTGAAAGACCGAAAAAACTGAGCAGTCGAGTGGGGTACGTGTGATGGATCTTAAGGGTGAGAGGTCTGAAAAAGATCCGAAGAGTAGGGGGAGCAGGAAAGCCGTTGGCGCACACATATGTGAACAAATTGTACAGCTCTCGAGTTTTGAGAACTTTTAATTAGCTTTAGGAACATTTTACTGCCCTTAAAAATCTTTAAAAATGCCTACAAGTTTTCAAAGAGGCTTTTCGGGACCTTTTCTTAAGAGTGTTTAAAAGGTAAAACTTGAGAAGCCTTTAAGACCATCAAGAAGCATTTATAAACGACTCAAAAGTGTGAGGAATCGAAGACTAGGTCAGCAAAGTCTAAGAACTGAAAAACCGGCAAAATTGAGCAGTCGGAGGAAGAAATCGAGTGAGGTAGTGTGATGGATCTAAAGGGTGAGAGGTCCGAAGAAGACCCTGAAGGGCAATGGGAGCTGGAAAAACGCTGACGCAAACATGGACGAATTGTACAGCTTTCGGACTAAAGATCGTTAACTATCGGTTGTTTGGACCGTATTTTTGTTCCTAGAAAGTGTTTTGTTTACGTTTTGGATTAAAAGACACGTCCAGCAGGTTACGTAAGATGGATATATAACGATAAATGGGAAGCAGAATAGATAATTTGCAATAGCAATAGAATATTTGAAACCGTTTTTAGAATTCGAAGAATAATTAGTAAACAAAAAGTCGGATGCATTTGATTGGACCATTTTTTAAAATGCGCCAATCAGAGAGAGACTCTCGCAGTCGTGGCGTCTTATCGCAAGTTTCATCACGTGATCCAGTATGTCGTTGCTGCCGTGCCGAGCGTGTTGTACTCTTCGTTTTCTCATAATTTGGGAAGTGCGATATTAAAATAAACTTAAAAAAAGGCAAATAAAAGACGCGGAAAATAGTTGGACGTCGTTCGTTTCGGCCCGTAGTACGTAAATCGGTGTATAAACGTAATTTAAGCTAGGAAAAGTCCTGGCGTCCCAACTACTTTTAGTTCGAATTTAAATCGGCGTTTGCGTGGTGGCTCTCGGGACGCGATCGCGTAAATTATTATTTTGTTAAAATCAACCCTTAAATTAATAAAAACTGACGGGGAAGTGTTAGTAAATCGGTCTTTTCGGTGTCATTTGAAGATTATCGAAATTTAAATAAAATGGCGTCCTATTTCAAATTCACTTGTTTGCGTTTAAAACTTAACGTTTAGTGCCCCATTTTTCGTCTTTGGAATCAAGAAGCCCAAGATTTCAACGATATGTTGATTTGGGGTAAGTTTGTAGACCTTTACAAGTTGCATGGTAATGGTTACGATAATGCCTTGCGCCACCCTTAAGATATGACGTAGCTAGTATCGACGGTAACAATCCGTTCAAAGTATTCGGTATATTTCATTTCGGTATAAATGCTACGGCCAGAGTTCATTTATCAGTCGCAAAACGTAGGGCTGAACAGTAACTTGACGCACTGTACGATAACCGCACTCTAATACTTTGCCACCCTTCATATTAATCCGATGATGAAGTAGGTTGTAACGCTTACGTTCACCAGACGAAGCACTACCTAAAGGCGGGAATACTTTAACAAAGTTTCTCACGCAAGTTGTTGTTTGATAGCAGTGTCGAGGTGTAGGTACATGCCCCCTAAGTCGGACGTACGGTGGTATTTACACCTCGACAGCAACTTGCGCCAGAAATCTTGTTAGAGTATTCTCGCCTTTAGGTGGCGCTCATGAAGCGCTTCGTCTGTTTAATGCATCCATTGTCACATGCATTCAAGTTGTTTTTTAACACGTTAACCGCCAGAGGGGTCTTCTGTACTGGTCCTAGAAGAGTTATCGCATGTCAGCCGGCTGCCATATACTTACGTTAAACAGTCACCCCATGTGTACAACCGGCATCCTGAAATACTATCTCCTACGACAGTTGGCTGTACATGTGGCGGCCAACGTGCTAATATACAATGGAATGACCACAGGTTTGCAGAACACTGCACTACGATTGTGACAATTTCATCGAAATGCTG